GGTGTTCATACCAGAGCTTTTTACAGGAACAAATCAAGACCTACTCTAGTTTAACAAAATAGTATCAAGGTAATGCTGAAAGGTATAGCTCAAAATATTGAAAGGCTAAAATCTGTGCAAATGTAATGTGATCTAAAAATAGATCTGAATGAAAATACAAATATTTCGCAGCAGGCTTTATATTCTCTCCTTTCATCCCTTTCATAGGAAATTTAACAAACACTGGAAAGAAATATGCATTTTGGCTCATAATTAGTCAATAGCAGTCAAAAGACTGACTGATGCAATTGATCTGTTCACAATTGCTACCCAGGGAAATAAACAAAGTCAGATGTGCACTACCATTCTTACAGTCTTGTGAAGTGGAAGGAAAGTAATGCCTGGTTTAGGCAAAGAACTAGTTAATCATAACGTGTAATTAAAAAATGACTTCACATGGTGACTCCATCATTCATCCAGTGGAAAGGGCTTCAGAAAATAATGGAGGGGCACCACTTGCTCACTGGAGGATGGAAGAATTAGGGGTAACGTTAGCGAGGCAAAGACAGAGGCAGGTACTGTATACCATATTTCAAGGTTGGAAGTGGCTACCTGCCCGCATCTCTCAGTTTCACTGACATCTCTTCCCATCATGCATTGGCACATTCAGTGGCCATGACAGGCAATAAAGTAGCTGCAGGAAGAGAGTTTGGCAGTTTTTCATGTGAATTTAACTTGAAAGTTATAAATAGGAAATTGGCACACTCCCCCAATCTGACTAATAATGATGTTAGTCATAATTTCATCTTTTGTCAAATTAGAAACCAAAAACCTACCCTTCAGTGTAAAACCAGTTAATTAAATCATCACAACTCTTTCACTATAGCACCACTACAGTGGGTTAGGGGGGTGGTAATTAAAGAGAGAGAGAAGATTCCTCTGCAGTTTTCATTGGTCTGCGCCACCCCCCAGTTTCAACAGTTGGAATCCAACAGAGCCAGATGAGAGCCTGAACACGCACAGGATGATGGATGTAGTTCTCACCGTCAGCATTTCAAATTTCTGCCGTCTTGGCAAAGTCATAAGAATCACTTCTGACAGCATGGGTAGGATGACCCACCCCATTAAACTCTCCCATCTTGGCTGTCACCTGTTCAGCTGATCACTGCTGCCTGAAGAATCCCTGTCACAGTTACAGTATCCTACTCAAACCTGTCTGGACAGCACGACACAACACCATACTCTAAATCAGAAGCTTTACTGGGGAAGCCACTCAGGAGTCCTAGAATGGCCAGAATTTGTACTTAAGGCAAGCTCCACATGTCAAAACTGCAAGTTAAATGCTTAGCTGAGTCCCTGGAACTCCATTGACAGCATGTATCCTGCAGAACCACATTACCTGGAAAGACATGTACTGTACAACAATATCAGAGTGAACTACTGTGATTAATCATCCCACAATATTAGATTGGGAATCCACAATATGACCTACTTTATGTAGTTCACAACAGATAAATGAATATCATACTATATACCATTACCAAATTTGGTTTGAAGTCCTGTATTTATCTCTCAGAGATAATCTTTTTTTTCTTTTATTGTTTTACTTTTATTTTCCAACTAATTAGGTCTGATTTAAACAGAAAATACTCTTAATTCATAGAGGATGACATGTTTCTTATTCTGATTTGTATTCTCATTTGCTCAAAAACCAGCTGCCTTGTTTCAGTGCTCCATGTGTTTTGGTACTCTGAAGAAGAACCTTTGCAAACGCCACAAAAAGAACAAGTGCAATTACAAATTGCCACAGTGAGATTCGTTTTTTGCCATTGTCTTGGAAGAAGGATAGAAAAGAAACAACAAATAAATCATTCAGCAGATAACATCGACATTAAAAACAACTGCAAATCCAGCAATTTCCTTCTAACCATTCATACAGTATATCAATCTTTTGTACTTGGTCACCTCTATAACATCCACAAAAAAGCACTTAAGTTATGTAGACTGCTTGTAAACTGTGAGAGAGTCTCATTCCATTTAGTTCTTTGATTTTGTTAATTATTGGTTGAAAAAATATTTGGATAGTTTTTTTCTTCTTTGTCATGAGGATTTGGAGCATTCGTGAGGATCAACTGAAAACTCCACCATTTATCCTACTGTTGGGTCTACACATGGTTTTAATGTCCTGATATGTCAAAGAAAAAAGACAGTTAACATGTATTTCTCTTCTTGTAACAATACCCCCACAGATATCACCTTCAGGCTCTCCTGCTATGTTGGAGTTGACAACACAATAGGTTTAGGGCCAACTTCCATCATGTGAATTTTCTCACTGTTGACATCTGCCATTACAACATCCATATCATTTTGTTTTCAGTCGAAAACAAAATCACCATGTAGAGTATTTCATTTTGGATGATGTAAATGTACTATTTTCTCACAGCACAGCAACAAAAGTTTTGCCAGACAGATTTTGGAAAGGAAATTATCATAAGGAATTGCTTTTAAAAAACACATAATTCCTGCAAACATATTCCATTTGTAAGCTGGACAGAGGCAATAACTGCAGGTCATTTTCTCAATCCTGTCCTTGACAAACATCATGTATGAATAAAATAACTTTTACATCAGACAATATGGAATTACAGAAATAATTTCCTTCTTAAATTCTTTTGAATATTATTAAACTAGGATCATCACCCAAACACACGCATAGCACATGTGATCTTCTGTATCTGGAAGCTTTTGAAACTACAGATATTTTTTAGTAGGTACACCATTTTTTTTTTAATGTGAGCTTGGTTATGACCTCATCATCACTACCCTTAGATTGTATGTTTCGTGCTACCTGTCAGATCACATGGGGGTGTAATTCATTGTCTAATAAAAATAAAAACAGGTTTACAAAAATTAAAATACAGAAAGGTCAAATCGTTTATAGCTAATCATTAAGAATCTCTAAATTGTAGATATGTGCATACAGTATATAAATGCATGTACTGTATTTCTCTCTAAATCCCCTTGTTCATTCAGGCATAACTGGTGAAAGAAATATGTGACCACATTATACGGTGTTCATTTCTCTTGCTGTGCTTTTTAATACAAAGTGAGCACATACCGTATGTTTTTTTTCCAGATGAACATATTCTTTTTCCCTTAGAATTTTACACAGCATAACAAATGCATTCTGCAGGACCTTAAGGGGGCACAGTTATGGCTTAAGTGTTGTTCTTAGTGAATTGAAAATGAAAAGCTTTAGGGGTTTCTTTTAATACACCTTTCCATGAAATGCCTCTTCTGATAGTTTAGGCATTATTTTCATACAACAGCTCTCTGGATGAGACGTTTGCTCATTTTCAGACAAGTCCGGATTTCAGATGCTCATTAAAGTTGTTGGCCTGGCAGTGTACATTAAGGAAGACACACATGAAATGGTATTGCAAAGGCTCTGAACTTTTGAAGACAGCATTTTGTCATGAATGGAGTTGCTGTGATATGAGCACATTGCATTGATGTGTACTTTTTAAAGAAAAGACATGAATGAGGAAAACACACGTCAGTGTCTGGTTGTATGTATGACATTTTACCTTTGATGCAGTAACTCAATCAACATTAAGGTAAAGCATATTGAGTTCAGTATTAATTGAGATATGTTGCTTACAGTACAAACCTGGGTTAAAACCTCTTACTAACAGAAGTCATGCCGTGTTTCATATTCATAAACTAAATACCAAGACTTTGATTTATGGACAAATCTTAAACTGAAATTAAATATGACCAAATTCAGATCTCTATAGGATATGTGAAAGTCATTCACCTAAAAAAAATAATGTGGAGAAGACACAATATTTTACTTTTTTCCAGAAAAGCAAGCAGTTTCTGAAAATTTTTGAAAGTGTTGTTATTTTCTCCATGCTTTGTTGCGCACTCGAAAAGAAGCCTCTTAACGTGGCAGTAGTCTTTATCCTTGTACTACCGCTGCGCTTTGTGTCCAGTGATTTGTCTTCGTCCTTCTCCTATGAGCCTTACAAGGTTCTTGCTGAGTACACTGTGACAATGGAGTTAATACGGTTTCGTTTTATAGAACTGACATCGGTGACGGGTCCCGTTCTAAGCGACAGGTTGCGACAGGTCAAAATCGTTCACTATAGACTTACATGAGTATTACAGTATAGAATGAAGGTCCTTCATGGACATATTTCATTATGGGCATTTTAATGAAAGACATCTTAAACTATACGGTAGGCAATAATAACATGATATTCACAGAACAGGTTTAGTACTTCCTTTTTATAAAAGCATCACGATGGTATTTTACAAAGTTCCCCAATGTTAGACACTTTTACGAATAAATCTTTTGTAACACGTAAACATTAGTAGCAATAGCTTAAACAAAATTTGAATGGGTTCTGTCATGTTTGTAATTAACTAAACGATTACAAATGCTGTTTTTCCTTTAAGGAATATTGAAGCTGCCTGAGTACACCAACATTGAATGTTACAGTATATATTTATAAAATTATATTGGCATTATGTTATACCACCGCAAAAGTTTACGATTCGAAAATAATGTTTAAGAAATTGTGCACAAACTGTGACAGCACCATTTTGCATTAAAACCAACAAACAAGAACGCAAATGTTTTCTGATAACGTAAGCATTGGTTTTCCTAAAAGAAAGTAACGATATTATGTCGTCCGTTAGATCATGAAATCGCTTTTAAAATCTGTATTATAACTATTCCAACAAGCTTTGTGTTTTTGACGCTTTGTTAAAGTGTGACCACGGTGAATTGATGTACAGTAGTTTACACAGTGGAACAGTAAATCGTAACAGTCAAGTTTAATGTTAGGCATTCATAAAAAAATAACCGAGGACGTTACCATTTTTTTTCATGAGAACAATCAGTGTATATCATACCTAGAATGGAACCTTTAATGATGGATATTAATCAGTCTTCCATAGAAGAAAACAAAGAAGAAATTCGGTACTTCAACCCGACAAACAGGAAACATATTTACCTTCAAGCCATACGATTTGGGAATCAAACGTGTATCCAACTTTCCTTCTTCTTGTAATCCACAACTATCCAGAATTGCCTCTCTTCATGACGCCACTTACGACCTGTCCATGATGTTATTTGTCCAGCGAGCAGCCTTGTGTCACAGCTACTCAAAAGTTGACGGTTACAAGCGCTGCTGGGCGCACCAGGTGAAATTCACCCTGGATGGAAGCGAAATAAGCCGTTTAACTGAAAGTAAAGTTTCAGTATTTATTTATAAAACGCATTAACGAAGAGATTTGTAACCTGAGCTTTACTTTCAGAATTCCAGCTCATCGTCTACTAATGTTTTGTTTTGTTTTCTCCACGTTTAGTGCCTCTTATGATTTCATTTCTGGGAGAAAAAAAAAGACTGAACTCTATTGTGGCATGTTTCCAGGTAAAACTTACTTCTTAGTGAAAAGGCGAGGGCTAACCAGTGCTCCACTCTACCGTCTAAGTGAGAGTCTAATGCGTTTTATTCCATAACGGCTCCTCTCCGATTCACCACTGAAATGCGCATTTACGCACAAAGCACCCTCGCGGGTGTTCAGCACCAAGTGAGGGACAGCTACACTGAGCTCAGCATGCACTGTGCAGGTGGAAAATAAAGGCGGAGCCAGGGCAGAGGTCAGAAACAGATTAGTACTGGCAGTTTTCTTTTCAGAACAGCCACACACAACCTGGTGCTACCTGCCTTGACGGATTAAGGGTTATTCCAGAATTTTGTTGCTTCTTTAAAATGTTTATGAAAATAAAGGGATTCGCCTGTATGTTTATTAAGCATTTCCCGTAGATGGCGTCGGAGTGTCACATTTGTTTTTCCCCATTAACAAAAGCATATTTCTTTCAACTCTCCAGTTCATTTATTTGATAAAAATGATATTTCTCAGATTTAAAAGTTATTTTGTAAGAGCTTGGAAAGCCGTGATCTTGGAATCCCCCTTGAAGACGTTTACGAAAACCTCTTCCACAATTAACAGAAGTTGCTACAACAGTTACAGTAAAATAAAAGCAGTTCTATTTCCAGTTATCTGGAAATCTCATATTATGCGGTCTTCTCCTCAGATATCCAGTGATAACATGTGTCCAGCAGTAATCGGTATTATTGTGTCATGGAAACGTGTTCTGTTTGTAGCATAGACGTTGAATAAATTACTGTTAAAGGCAAAACAGCTGCCCAAAACTACTAACTTTAACTACATAAATGCAAAAACATGCTTTACATTTGCTGTATAATGACAATTCCTGTGCCACCTCCCTGCCTGTGTGTGCGCTCTAGTGATTACAAGCCCTGTGTTTCCTGAAAAATGAAGTCACAGTTTCCTCACACTGTTCTGCAGATGTAGACTCTCCCATCACTCCTCCAAGCGGCAGCATAAGACATTTGCTAATGACAAGCATGGCTTGTTCCCTCAGTCCCTTGGGCTGGGTACTCTCAAGCACATACCTCCTTACGATGCCTGCTCTGTTGTTTCAAACTGCACCAAACAAAGCAGAAGGGAGAGGTTGGAGCTTATGAACTACCTGGTGTACCGGTACTGGTGGAGTTACTGTCTATTCCTGGTCCATTTTGTGAGTGGCTCCCTCTGTGACTGGATCCCCAGTTTATGGCCAATGGCCACTGTATTTGGCATCCTCAAATACATCTCCTGCCTCTTTGCTGCATTCTTGTGTCCCTTCCCCCTGGGTGAAATGTGCTTCCAAGTGGCTCACCTTTGTGAACCACTGTATCGAAAGTGACTGGACTCTACTGCCTGTTTTTTTTCCCCCACCATCCTCACCTTTCACCAAAGTCTCCCTTCAGTTCAGTTTATTACTTGCCCTATGAACAAGCAATGCATGTACACTAGGCTCTGATACAAAGACATCAAGGAAATGCCAAACCAAACACAGAACAGCAGCTGCTGTAACAACAGCACGTTAAATAACTTGCAAGTCAGAAGAATCAGTGTAAAAAGAGAACAAAACCTATCGGTGTGAGCCAGTGGTAGAGGTGGAGTTCGATAATCTGACAGCTTGTGGGATGGAACCGTCTCTGAATCTGGAGGTTCATGCCTTTATGCTCCTATAATGCTTACCAGAGGGGACAAGGGAGAAAACTGGGAAGCCAGGATGTCAGTTATCCTTAATGATACCTCCAGCTTTCCTGACACAGAATTGTGAAAATGCCCACAGCAGAGGGGAACTGTACTCCAATAATGAGTAAGGCAACCCGGTTGCCCTCTGTAACCCCTTGGATACTGGATACTGGGGAGCCTACAGCTATCTTTCTGTTTTATCTGGTTACTGTTATTTTATAAACAGGCTGGGTGGTAGAATACTAACACATTGCAACCCAGTGCAATCCAGTAAGGGAAATATTGCTTTTTTTGTTCTGTTGGTAATAAGAAACCAAGTTAAAACACACATTACAAAAGGTGATCTTAATCACAAAAATATCCAAACATGCTACTGAATATTGTTCTCATTCAGAATCTGTTTTTTTCCTATTTCAGAATACATCTTGACAGTAACATTCACATTGGGTTTTCACCAAATGCTGTGAAATCCTTTGAGATTAGTACTGAAAGCCTCTCATTTAATTTATTTTGCTCTATAACAGGTTGCCTCAAAACAATGTAAATTTTGTTTCCCATATGTCTCATGTGCAGTAGATGTCAAGAAGATCCTATGCTTTTTGAAAATTATGCAATTGCAGTATGAAACCGAACAAGAACTTGAACAGATACTGGTATGCAGTGAAAAAATCAGCCCTCCAAACAAATCCCCAAGAAATATGAAATCTGGGAAGAACTCTATTTTTCACCTCCATCAAAGTGTTATAATTTGGCTGCCCACATGGCTGTTTGTGAAGTTGTTTTTTAACTCTTAGTTTCTTCTGGATCCAATAATAATTCTACAGTTAAAGAACACAGCCTTAGTACAATTGATTGGTTTGTTTTTTAAAAATATGCATTCTTATCTCAGACGATTTTGAAATGTCCTTCTGTATTTAACACTAATTATTTTTACTAGTTACATTTTTTTAATCTGTCTCCTCGGCTTTTATTTAATGGCAAAAGCAGTGAGCAATGTACTGTACACATCTGAAAAACATGACAATCGTGACCCAGTGTCTCTTTTACAGCTAACACCGGCAAAATGAAATGGCATCAAATGCTTTGAACCAAAGGAACATCGCAGGATTGCTGTTGAGAAATTTAATTTTCCTTAAAATGCAAATGAATTTCCATGGTAACCTTTTTTATCCATCAAACAACCATGGCCCCAGGAACGATCAAACACTATCACAAGTAAAACAATAATTTTCTTTCCTCAAAATGCTAAAAGAACATTTGGAGATGTATCTTAAAAGCTACAGTATATAGGGGGAGGGGGGGATTTTTGTTGAACTATGGTTGTTTCACACAACATTTTTGTAGTGTTGTTTTCACTCTTCTCCTGCCCTTTCTTTCCATTCTCCAGTTTTTGCATCCATATTGCATTTAACACTAGTACTCACTGCACAGCAATGTGGGATTTGTCATTTTAGAAACAGTAGAAAATGAAGTTACTGTTCATTGTGAGACAGTTTGAAATGTAAATCCTGAAAAATGAAATCTGTTGTCTGATCACAGTATAATCACCGTTGTTCGGTAGTAGTCGAGGCATTGTTACATGTTTCGCTTTTGTAATAACACTAAATTAAACACTATTTGGAAATACATTTTTTAAACATTTTTTTCTTCATGTGGAAAAGTAACTTTTTTAAAGTATTGTAAAATCCAAAGATAATGCTTCTGTTAATTACAATCTAATCTTACAGAGCACCATATGATTGCTTTAATGGTTCAATGTTCTAATGCTGAAATTCTTATTGTCATGCTGAGCTCATGACATACAGTAGCTAGTAAAACAATTGAGTTGAAAAGTCCACTGTTTAACCTTTGTTAGTTAAAGCATGCTGAAGTCAGCTTTATTCATTTTTACAAGCCAACTAGTCTTTAAAAATACATGCAGAGGCTCTGATACAATACCTTACTTATCGGTGGTGAAAGGCATGCGTATTTTGATGCTCCGCATTGCTGTAAAAAATCCCAAGCAGGGAACTAAGAGCCTGTGGTAAAGTTCAGCCAATGTGTGACAAGACAGGTGAACATTTTTTTTGCATGAGATATGCAAGTCTGAATGATCCCATGCATGGCTACATTTTTTTCCTTCACATGACTGTCACGCATTGAGCTATGGGCTTTGTTCCTAGAGTTTCTGAACTTTAAATACATTATTTACACTGTTTCTTCTCCTTATTTTAGTAGACTATAAATAATTCAAGTGTCGCATCAATGTTGTTTTCTTTGGGTTTCATGAACTGTCAGTTGGATATTGGTGATATAGTTTCATGTGCAAAGTCAGTAGCTAATGTTTTTATCTTGCCTGTTTTTTTTTAGTCCAAAGTATAAGATTTCAGATGGTGGTTGTGAAAAGACAGGGATCAGGCAAACACATACAGTAGTTTGTGATCACAGCTTTCAGAGCCACAGAAGCTGGAAATAAAAGCAGAAGACAGTATTTGATTTAGCAGGTTGGCTGATCTTGAATTACCCTTAATTTTGTGTTCTCCATTTTGGGCAGAAGCGCTTGGCCTTTTTTGACATTATTTTTCTTCCTTCTTTCCTTGTAATATACAGTACAGGAAGGGGTTAAATGGTAGCAGTGTTTAATCTCTGCACTTCAGCGTTAACTTTCTTCAGCTTTGTTTTTCCTGCAACACAAACAAGATCACACCAGAGAGAAGAGAAAGCCAAGCTTCCCTGGAAACTGGAAACATAATTAGGCAGCTGGCCTGGAATATTATTACACAATAAGAGCAAAGGCAGCAGAATTTGCAGAGCAGCATGGGGAATACCCAAGTCAGGTCATCCACAAGACTCTAGTCTCCAATGATCAGTGTCATGAAGCAATAAGGCTTACAGTCACATGTACCTGCAGCCCTCTGGCATCACTGAGATCAATGCAAAATGAGCTGATGGCTCACAATGGTCTCAAGCTCTCTTTTTACATTCTTGAAGCAGCAAATACTGTAAATGGCCAGAGCCTATTCAAGTTGTGTGTCAAAATGGCTAACAGTGATTTCCTAAAAGCATATACAGTACATTCTCAAAGCGCAAGGGCTTGGAAATTAACCACTGGGAATTAGACAACCTGATCAGTTGACATACAGTATACCCTTCAGTACAACAGTCCCCAAATAACATAATTTCATTCAGATGCTTTCCAAAAATGTGCATTTATTCAGATTACAATTTGTCCTTGTAAACACGTTCCTGTGATTCTGGAAGGGAAACTTACTTCTCTCCGTTACTGGCTAGCATGTCAGCAGTAAAAGGTTGCCTGAGGTTCAGTTTCGCACAAGTTCCTATTTCTCCTGTTCCTGCATGTAACTGGAGATAGAGCATCTACTGCCTCACTCTCTGACCAGCATCCAGATAACAGCCAACTCATTTTGTTATCCAATTAATGTTTCTTACTCTAGTTGTACCTGTACTTTAAGTATTGTCATTCATGTGATTTTCTTTA